GAGACGTCATTTGCAACGATCAGCTCGAAGTCATCGGGCAACGGCTCGGTGGAGACCAAAATGCACAGCCGACATACCATCTGTTCAATCTCACTAAGCTACTGCGAGATGATCATGTCCTTTGCCTGCATCTTCGTAAGCGTCGCGTTCATCACGGTTGTAACTACCGCAACAGCCGCTGCTGCGATATATCACATCCCGGTACGCGCATCAACGGGCTCTTTTTCCTCAATGTGCGTCAGCATACACAAGCACTTGGCTAGCATCCAATCGAGCGTGTTGCCCATGTGCAGCCAGCGATTGGTCAGCTTTGGACATGTCGTTGATCAAATTCGTCTTATGGCACAGGTGCACAGCTCATCAATTCGTTACCTTGAAAAATTGCGCATCGTCAATCATGATGAACCCTGCCTTCATGACAAGATCCATCTAGTGCGCAGGACACCAGACACGCAGGATATCATTTGTCGCCTGTTGCTCGAGCAGAGTGATGACTCCACCGTGACAGCATGTCATGGTGTTCTCGCCATCCGAAGGAAGTCCGATCAGCTTATCGCGCCAACCGGAATTGATAACGTCCATGATCTTTGTGATCAGATTGACCTGGTTGACGGCGGTGTGCCGATCAAACATGGGAATGACCAACAAGTGCAGGTTGACGAGGAGTCCATCCACCTCCAGACGCAGACGCTGATCCATGAATGAAATACTCATGTGAGTGCTCGTGTCGCACGCAAATGAGAATGCCCACATGGACAGATTTTTCATCATATCGCTGAGATGCTGCATGGCGATCACAACAAAAATAAGTACATAGTTGCTGACCAAATCATCGGTCACTCCAATCAATTTCACATTCTTGATGAGCTTTTGGTGTTGTTGAATGACAGTGGCGGTCTGCCTCAATCATAGCTTGGCTAACGTGTGCTGAATCGCGAGCTAATACCTAACTGGCATCTTGATCGTGACGTTGTAGCTGCTGTACTCCTGACGCCGAAACAGCTTCAACGCTATTTTGGCCAAGATCGTTTCGTCCTCAGAGTTGAAGAACAACTCGATTATCAAAACTTTGACAATGGGCGCACTTATGGTAAATATCAGTGTAGAACTTGCATCGTCGAAGAAGGAGAACAACGTGTCTTTGAACTCTGGCTGCTAGTTGAAGAACACTTTCTTGTTCTTGAACGAGATTGCTTTGTACACGGTCCACTTGCCCACGTGGAACTCTTTGTGATGGACTTGACAGTTGTCCGTTCGGTAAGGTGGTGCAAAGAGTTTGATGTTCTGAGTACGCTTGCGTTTGGCATCAAGAACCTGCTCCCGGCCATGAAAATGGCAGATTTTGCACTGAACACTATCAACGACACCATTCACATCCTGGTACAACACCTTGAAGCTGTGCTCGACTTCATGCTTTGCTTGAAACGGTGTGCCGTGAGCTTTTGAGTTTGCCAGCGCCTTGTTGACTGACACCACCATCGTCGCGAAGTGACTCGTGTGCGCGTTCAACTTCGCCAAAGCCCGTTTACGCTCACTAATTTTTGATGTTTTATTTTTAGCGTCCTCAACACCCTTACATTTGGCATTTTTGGCATTTAAGGGTCCGTTGCCGAATTTAAAGAGATCTGGTTTAAATCCACATGATCACATGAGTTTTATAATAGAAATCAAAAAGTGATAATAAGAGCTTTTGCTAAATCTCTTATATTCTCTTATATAGTGTAGTGATAGTGATTTTGATTTACCTAAGCCCTAAAATAACTAACCAAAAGATGTGTCATAAAAGTAACTAACCGAAAGAGTGAGATTAATATGTTAATTTTCCTTAATATTTGGGAAAATTAGTGCTATAGAATGTGGCATAAGATCTACATAATCATGAGCTTCTAATGTACAAGTCTATTATTTATACTTCTAGAAAAGAGTTTTTTTCTTTTTTATCTTTTGAAAAATAAGAAAATAATTTCTGACATCTTAAAAAAAACTCATTTATTTAGATTAGTTATGATCCAATCTAATTTAAGTATTTTCCCCTCTCATTGTCATTTTTTTAAAGCATATCAATTTTTGAATGACAACATCTACATAAAAATATCTTGATTCATATTATGAAAAAAATTAAACAGAAATGTTTCAATCTTAAAAGAAGAATGCCAAGAATGATCTTGATGAAAAAAGCTGAGTTCTGTACAACAGGTAATATTACTCTGCATTTTGTACACGTTTACTAACTATATCTGCATTTTTGGAAGAAACAGAACATTTTGAAAAATTCCCTCGTAAAAAACTAATTTTTTCAGAAAAATGTGCATTTTTTTTTCAGTAGTTTTTGCATTACTATAAGAAACATATAATAAATTTTGATTTTATCAATCAAAACAACAGTATGAACGATTCAAGAACAGCAATTTTCGCAATAATATAATTAGCTTTATGTTCCAATTCTCCTAGTGTTAAACCTTCTTTAAGTCTACGTAAAAGCATATCCGGCAGTCTAATGAGCACTATTAGATAAAAATAAAGAACCATCTTGAACAGCTAATTGTACTGATAAGTATATATTTGTTTAAACATTTACTAAATGTATTATTTTTCAATGTAACTCCTATGAAATTAATCAAATTTATTACAGACACTTAGCCATATTCCAACACGACCCAGAGATGATTAGTAAAAACTACCTGAAATACGGTAAAAAGTAATGTGGACCAAATGAATATCAATAAAAACCGTAAAAAAACCTCTAAATTTTGAGGTAAGTAGGCAGTATTCAGTCTTTTTGCAAATCAAACCAAAAAACCCTAATGAAAACAAAAAAACAAGAAGACCCCAAATATCACTTACTCCTTCATGTCTTATCATAAAATCTACTCTAACATGGTCCACTTGCAATTTCCAACAGAATAATGTCTCCTTTTTTCATTAAAAATATTGATTATTTTATGGAAACAAGAAAAAAATTATTTTCAGAAATAATCATATGAATCACACTTATATGTAAAGATATGTGGTGGTCCTTAGAAACTTATCCGTGTTCATACTTGTGGTGCGATCATGATACGGACTAGAGTTCTAGTGATACATTATCCCTCTCTTGCTTACGTCCTAAAAGGCCATGTAACCATCTTGCCATGGATTAGATGCCCATCTGACCACCCGTTTAGTGTACACTTAATCGATTCGAGGAGAGTGACCGGTCTTTTCACAAGCCCTCAAAAGCTTAGTAAGGGTTGTTTGTATCTTTTTGAGTATCTCAAAGTGGTGATTTTAATATTCACCTCTATAAATGGTGATGTTTGAAATGAAATACAGTACCGTACCTCCGTGTAGGAGCAGATGGTCGCCTTGCGTTAAAGTGAGAAACCATAACATTACGGATAGCTCAGGTTATTTTAAAAGATCTCACCATACTGATGTTAAAGATGAGAACTATAGAGCGAGGAACCCTATCCTCCCTTTCCCATACATTCCGAAGGATTTTATATTCTGGGATTTTGAAAATGGCAAAGATGTTCTCCGTGCGTTAGTGCGAGGGACCAATCAACCCGTTTAAGCCGCATTTGACGATTTTATTATTGTATTTAAACTACCTCTGAGCTAGAGTGAGGACCCTGAAGCCTAACAACCCATTTTAAATACATTCGAAGATTTTATTTACTGTGATTTTAAATTGAAAAGCATGTATGATATGTGAAACTTGTGCGACCAATCATATTTTTTTGCATTGACAAATGTGTTTTGCTACTGACAAATGTGTTCTGTTTATACTTGCAGATACAATTTATGTTTCTACGAGTTCGAAGCCGACAACTTTAGTAAACAGCTGAAATTTGGAAAAATTGGCACACACTGAAGTTAACAAAATTAATTAATTCTACATATTACCCACAATAACCAGCTAGAATCTACCATGATTCGATCATCAGATTGAGTATGGGATTTTAGCTAAATTTAAAACCATCTGTGTCCAAAACCAGAAATTACTCGACCACATGCAAGTTTAGGTGTACGTATACCAACAATCTAAACCTCAAAGATTTCGCTTGTCATCTGAGGAAGATTGAACACTGAAACTATTCTCTTTATCCATCCAGCAGAGGCAATTGCTTAACGATTTGTAGGTCATCTTACTAAAATCTCGGTATATCCGTCTAATTTAGGATTCCGTGGTCAGCCACATGTCAAGAAGAGGCAATCAACAAACTGGTAAGCACCTCACGCACCAGTAGGAGGTGACCACTAACAGAATTACAATCTGCTGATAAGCTGACCGTACGGGCAATGCAAGTACAAACGTTAATTCGGTGTATCTCCCAGTCAATACCAGTAGCAGGGTACTCTCTGAACGAATGGGAGATAGATCGTAGCGTCCGGTTTCACGAGGCCATATCCATATTCTGCCTCGCATAATAACACACGTGACCTCCATCCACCAAGCCTTCTTGGGAGCCTGTGTCTTGATTTAAGCTCTGTCCCCGCCAGATATGGCGCCCATTTACAATATTTGGGCTGTAGGGTAAACCAATAGGCAATAAACAGATTAACCGCTCACACCACGGATCCCGTCTGGCCTGGAATTATTATCGTAACCCTCTCTTTAGGAAGCGCCTTCCTTTACGCTGGCTTGTGTAACGGCACCTTAGACTGCTGACCATATTTTCCGGATCCAAGTACGACAAAGGACTCGCAGTAAGTACGAGCCCGCATGCGGGCATGTTGATACTTTATCACATTGGTCCTCGGTTGAGAAGGCATTCGCGTGTTCTACACTACTCCACTGCCTGCACCAACGGTCTAGACGTGGGCATTCAAGGAATTGCAATAAAGTGGAACTCAACTGCTGCCGCAACCGTCATCCCAGCCTCTTAACAAAGAATCTCCCGGTTGTGAACATACGGCCCATCTTCGAAAGCACAGCTGATACATGCATTCAAGCATCTATGATAGGCTCGCTTCATACAAACATCAGATGTACTATGATAGGAACAAATGGTAAAAATCGCCGCATAATGCTCAAGTTTCCAAGTTTCACACATGACTCATGGAATCCAAATAAGGACAGCAGTTCTCGAGAACTCCGAGTAGACACCAGTACTGAGTGACCGAAAAAGGTCGACGCAATCCTGCGTCTCCAACCCAGTCCGGTCTTACATGCCACATTCAATAATGATGTCCATAGTCAAACTATCTCTTGTACAGTAAGAGAAATCCCAGCCAACTACGCAGGTACTTAACCTAATCCCCAACTTACACGAATCCCAGCAACCATCCCCCACTCCTGAAGAACTCTCCTACAAAACAGTAAAATGGTAGACAGGTGGGAGAGCACGGAAGATCTTCATGTGCGAAAGTGCCCTATACCAGCATTTAGGAGACATACTTCGTACTTCACACCCCCGACATGTCTGACACATGCTAACCAAAGAACAGCTTACCGAGAAAGCCCAAAACACTTCCTACGGCCGACCAATGACTTGCTCATGTGGCCCAACTCTCCAATTCTTAACTGTCTAACTATGGTAAGCCTATTAACAGCGCCAACACATGTGGCCCAATAGGAGGTGTCTGGTACACAGTGGAAGTGTGTCGAACACCATGGCTCTTACTTCCCAAATATGTTTGGGAATAATGCACAATCCCGTTAGCTAAGATTGATTAACAGCAGCTATTAAAATAGCCTGGACCTCCCAGTTCAACTCAATCATAAGACCTTCATTTGATTTACAATACTTCCTGAGAGCGCCTCACGATCCGGCTCACTTTCCGTTTGAATTCTTCTTTGGTCTCTCGCCACTCCTTCTGCAACGAGCGAATTACATTCTCGGTGAGAAAAACAACTGGAATCAACAAAAAGGTAATAAGGACTTTGGAGTTTTAAGTGGGACAGCAAGGCAACTGATGGCCATACGTCAAGTGCATTCCCTTCCCTCATCGACGTCAGGCCTTCGCAAGCATTCTAGAAGGCAATTATATTTAACCTAAAGGTAAGTCAATTGTTTTACGTTTCTTATTCTATCACACGTAAAAGGAAAGCCAAGCGGAATCCGTGTCTCTAGGATTTATTGACTAGGATAAACGTATGACCGTCCCGCGCAGTCTTGTGAACTACATGAAACGTGGATTGGTTGGAGCTCAGTATTTTGTGACAAATTGAAAGGAAGCATAGAACGAGAACTTACGGCGGCGTCAATATTAGCTGGTGATTCGTCATTCGGACTTGATAGCATTGAGATAATACTCAATAAAATAGTCTCCACCTGCACACAGAAGGATAAAAGTCAAACTTTGACCGGTGATGTTCTAAAGGTACTGACATCTGACAGAGAAGCTGACGGAGAACCAAATGCAGACTCGTGACGATCCGTAGAAGAGGACGTACGGTGTGCACTGGGGACCATCGCTCGCTGGCAAGCTCATAACCATTGGGGTCGTCTCCTGGCGCGTGCAGAATTGAGATACACACACGTCCGTCTGGATAAACTGCAGAAAACAATATCCAAAAGGTTAATAAGATTCCGCATCTGCGAATAATTTATTACACAAGCTCATAGCCGAAGACGACTCCGTCAAACTTCAGATAAACTACTTCCGGAGGAAGTGACTGTTCTCGATCCTTCTCAAAGAGAAACTTGTAGGTTGCACCCATCTAAGCCAGCCGCCAACCCTCAAATTGACGAGCTGTAACCAACCTGTAACAGCCGGCCGATTCTTCCAAACGGAATTACGAACCTAATAACAGTCAAAAAGCAATTCAGGCAGAATTTGGAGCATAGACTAGAGCAGTCCCATCATAGGAACGCTAGAATGTGCCGAACCTCAATTAAAGACGACCCACCACATGATTCCTTATAACTGATTCACTTATTTATAGCACATAAATCCGACATCAACTTTCTTGCTCTACGCGTACACTTCCGGTCACGTCATACACTGTTTCGCTCACCATTTGGATGCCACATTTCCGAGGTAAATCTTACTGACGGAGGACTGTTGGGGTAGTTGTTTGGAAAACTCATGATGGCATTAAAGTAGCCTCCCTCACTGCATGATCCAACATCAATCATCAGAACTACGAATCAATGCCCACATTGAAAGCCTTAACTATAAATAGGCGTCCCTTGACTTAGGGTTTTCGAACCAACGTAAATCCAGACCCCCGATATATCACACAACAACTTGCGACTGGGGACATGCAAGATGCGCAAACCATGATTTCATTACTTTATTACAATGACTGCCAACCTGCATTGCTGACAAAATCGTTTCTCTGTAAAATGATGGACAGTACGGACGATAAACCATCACGAATGTATATGGCACACATTGCAAAACGGCGACAAATCGACGTGCGAGCTTCACTACATGAGCAGACCTCAATAAGTGATTGAGACCTCGCTAATAATCAAACTATCCATTCGTGAAGCTAATTTCTCATCCAAGGAACTCAACTGCCTTCGGAAGCTACTGTGTACACCTTCCCACAGGTAGCCACTAAGAGGAAACCAGGAGTCTACTATGATGGACAATCTACGTGGAAATTTTGAACGAAAAGAACCCCAGACATCACATCCACAAATGGGCAACAGGCACCAATCATGCACAATAACTGCATAAACACTTGGCACAACAAGAGGTTCGATCAAAACCTCCACCTCCTTCCGGCATTTAAAAGAACCATGCATGTCGTTTCTTTGTACTTACTAGAGCGTATCCGGCGGGCCGATGATCGTCACATTCCACTCAAACACATTTGAATCATCCACCAATCCTGCTGAGAAACCATCAACCGGATTCCTGGAAAGATCTGTGGAGGCAGAAAACACATTGAGGAAATGAGTTAAAAAAATTGAACAATCCAGACAGAATTCCAAAGCCCCCGAATTCCGAACTCATTACGAATGCTATGGACGGCCGACGACAACGGAAGCTGATTCACATCTCCAGAGATTTTCAGAATGAACAGTGTAATCTTGAGGGGCAATCCTCTTTACAAGATTGCAAATAACGGTTGTTAAACGGCAAGTGATCGGTTTGAACCGATCATTCATTCCAGATCAACCCTCTTGGAAACTACGACGCAGGAAGATAAGGACAAATGGAGCTGGAAAGCAATGGAGCAGGACCAAAACCCTGTCTGCTGGAAGATTTTCTCAGACAAGACGACCTACGGGTATCCACGGTATGCCACTAGGCTGGATGATTCATCCCGTCAGATAGAAGGGAGCGACAGGCAGCACCATGCACCAGAGCGACATAACGACGTAGCATTGGAGAGAGGGCAGGACACAGAGGCTGCAAATCTCGTCACGGAAGTCCCTTGATCGGGTAAGAGATCGAGAAGAGACGATATGTCACTACGACTCTAACCAGAACCCTAAAGTGATGCCAACAATGCACCCATACGCGTGAGTGGTCATCAAAAATAAAACTCATTTGCAAACAAACATGATCCAAAGTATTCCACTTAAATTGATATCGCGTGAGAGAATCGGGAGAAAACGCAAAATATCAACGCAAAGCCCGATCGCAGACTCCGCAAGTAATTGAATCTCGACATCGCACGAGGACGGAGAAGACATGATCCAATTCGGCTCGTGACAAAGGCAATACGGATCTGCGTCACAAGCCCAGTTGTGACCTTTGTCACGAAAGACAACCCTGCAAAGATTAGAGGGCGGGAGACAGGGCACACCTTTTAGCTGCTTACGCAGCAACAGACTCGCTTGGCTTTCTGACATACTGCAACCACTGCAGATATGCCCCTCTTTCCGACCCCTTGACGAACTAGTGACAACTTTCCTGTTTCTCGCACCTCCGCTGCCTTCTCTCCGAAGTCCTATATAATACTACGACCCTCCGTCGCTCCCGCTCGCTCGTACACTGGCTGCTCTCTCGCCCGGCGAAGAGAGGAACACAAAGACCCCGCCAAGCCGAGCCTAGCGTTGAGCCTTGACTCCTCTTCGTCCTGTGCCAGCAACAACGACAAATCTTTGTATTGACAGGCACTCGCTCACTCGCACACTCGCTCTTTCGCTAACAGGCGACACGACGCGGTGATGACTCGCGAGTTTCGTCTAATCTATCGATGAACTATTCAACAACAACAGCAGACGATCAACCAAGCCTCGGGTTGTGGTTGTTTCTTCATCAGTTGTTGCTCCAGCCGCTTCGCTCTCATCCACATCTCCCCCGTAACCTCATAGGTCGGTGGGGCGGTGGCGTCGCAAGGAGAAGTCTGGCAGGCAGGCGGGTCAGGGTAGAAGTGATGGGAACAGGAGAGAGGAGGCGAGGAGGACAGGGAAAGGAAAGAGGAAGGAAGGGGAAAGAAAGGCGAGGCGAGGCAAGGCAAGGCAAGGCAAGGCACGGCACGGCGTGCCAGGGTAGGATGCAAGAGGAGAGAAGAGAGAGAATGGAGAGGAGAGGAGAGCCCAGCCGAGGTGAGATGGTGCAGGTGAGGCAGGAATCAGCAACTGGCAAACACACGCAACGCAACAAGGCAGGAACCAAGCGAGCAACGCAACCCGGGAGCCCAACCAAGGGAGGAAAGCTGCGGGACCCAGAAGGTGCCCCCGCTCCCCTCCCCCTCCCCTCCCCTCCCGTCCCTCCCTCTCCCCGGGTCCTTCCATCGAAACTCGCCAAGGTTGCAACCCAAGCAAGCACAGCCCAGTAACTAGACGAGTGGAAGGAGCCCCAGACTGAACGATGGCGAACGGAAACCCAACCCGCAACCCTCGTGCGAAGGCAACAGCCGACGCCGCTCCCCTCAATCCAACGGAGACGTAGTCATGTACTGTATGTACTGAACCGAACTCCAAACGGATCGGGAACCGAAATACTATCAGAACCACCAGCGCAACAGGAATGAGAACATCCACACGTCCCGTGGCTCTACTGCATGAGTCCAGGTTGTCCATACCATAGAAAGTCGCTCATGATGACCCAGATCAAATCACCAAAAACTAAACCACCACAAGACAGTGGCTCGCTCTCATCTCGCTCACATCTGATTCCCTTGTTTTACTGACCAGTTTCTATTCTGCATTTTCATCTCCCTCCCTTCCCCCACCACCACCTTGACCGTGAGCTGGGAGCTGTCACGCGAAACAAAGCCAGGCCAGGCCGAGCCAAACAAAGCAAGGCAAGGCCCTTGCCTTGCCTTGCTTTGTTTGGCAACGCAAGGCAAAGCGAAGCCAGGCAATGCCACGGCCCCGAGGTGGTCCTCCCAAACCTCCCTCCCACTTTTGGCATTTGGGGGTAGACTAAAAAGAAGCACCATGCGTCAAGTCATACATCAGTCAATAGCATCATCTTGTGAAGCAACAACAGAAGAAGATCCGCTCGCCCCGCCCCTCGCTCTCTTCCTCATTCCGGGCCGTGACACCCGCGTCCTCGCGTCAGTCAGGTTCATCAGATCCCGTGTCCCTCCCTCCCATTGCCTTTCCTAGGAGGCATCATGAGTAAACAAACAAGCGGGAAAGGGACGAAAGCAGCAGATCGCTGCGGTCACTTCTCCCCTCTTACTCTAGTTGCATCAATTTCCTCCCCTCCCTTGTCCTGCCTTAAATCTTGAATGGAATTTGGCGAAGGATAGCAAAATGACCACTACAAAATGAGTCAAAAGAATAGTCTTAGAGTGGCTCCTGTAGACCTCAGACAAAATTGCAAGCCCTCCTTGTCTTCTTGGAAGTCATACCATGGGAGGAATAAACCCAAACGAAAACTTTGACGAAGCACAAAGAATCAAGAGACCCGACCGACCATTGAGAACCGAACGTTCTTCCTACGAGGGGCATGTCCATGACTCGTCAATCCGCACTGCAAACAAGAAATTTAGCGGAACTCGTTGTAATGATCAAGGGACTGCATACTTTTAAAATTCCTCCGTTACATTCTCCAAACTGGCTAAACTGGTGGAAACTGGACAACCTTGAATCGTGATGGAACAAACGGAAGCAATCGAGTGAAAAGAACCCCAAAATGGAGTGGACAAATGCAACGGCAGCTTGTAATTCAAGCGGGAGTAAACTACAGTGGACCGAAATTCCTCTCACACCGCCACATCTGTTGGGTTCATCAAGAACGCACGGACGCCGACCCGCCCGCCCACAATGGAGTGACTACTCACTCACTCCCTAACAAATCGTGGTCATGATACTGCAGGAATAACTTGTCTGCAAGGTGAAGTGGTTGAGTTCAAAATGGGAAAACAACGAGGACCCATAAAATAAAATGGGGATCGGATAAATCAGCAAATCCAGCAAGAAAGCTTCAAGTTCCCCACACTCCACTAATCGACCCTTCCTCGATGGATACTTTGGACGCAATGTGCTCGACTCGACGTCTACGTCTCCGGCTGCATGACAGCTCTGCCCTCCGCCGTATGTATATTTGCTGCAGCTTGGCTCGATGCCGTGCTCTACCGAGATTGGGTGGCAAACTAGAGGGGAGGAGCGTTAGGCGAAATATCCCACCGGTCCGCGCGGTTGGAGAATCGTGGACGATGTAGAGATGCGTGGAGCCACGCATCTCTACGTCGTCCGCCTTGTGACTGCGTCCGCTCCAAGACACGGACCGTCCTTCGAAGAGCCCGCCCGCTATCCATTTCTTGGCGGGGCGGGGGGCTCATTGTGGGCGACGCGGGCGAGCCGCGGGTTCTGGTCGCCCGTAGATGGACGAAGACCGGTCACTCCCCTTGTACCGTACGGTTCATGTAGTGTCGCGCGGGCGGGCGGCCGGGCGATCTGTAAACGTTTGCCCGAGATTCTTGTCATGTCTGGTTTCCTTTCATCGGATGGGAGTGCTGCCCGTCCCTGCCCGACTACGGAGTCCGTAGCCCCCTTTCCCTTCCCTTCCATACGCTTCCTCCATAACTCAACTTCTTTTCCGACGCAAGGAAAGAATCACGAACAGTATAGCGAATGTTCGCGGGGAAGAAATAAATTGCATCGCTCGAAGAACTCTGTTGCCCTCTAAGACTTTCTTCTGTAAAGAATTTTCTAAAAAGGATGGCGAATATTCTCGGGGAAGAAATAAATTGCATCGCTCGAAGAGCTCTATCTCTAAGGCTCTAAGAAAGCCTTAGAGAGCTCTATCGCCCTCTAAGGCTTTCTTCCTTAAGGACTTTTTTGAAAAGGGTAGCGAATATTCGAGGGGAAGAAATAAATTGCGTCGCTTGAAGAACTCTATGGGCCTCTAACACTTTCTTCTGTGAGGAATCTTCTCAAAGAAAAGGAGACAAAGAGCCACATATCAATGCGTTACGAGCTTAGTGAGCAAGCCACGTCATCCCGACCCGCAAAGACAGATATACATGGGCGGGCGAGTGAGAAACAAAACTAAGCGAGTTTACAGAACTCACGACAGCCTGGGACATAATTTCCAACTTGGCCAACGAAGAATCCGAAGAAGCTCTGTGGTTTGTTGGGCTTGCCATCAGGAGGACGGTACACATGGTGGACATTGCCCCCTTTCCCTCTATAATTAAATAGAATTGTCTGCTTTAAAGGCCACATGTTGGGTGCAAGAGTAAAGTACAAATAGCCCCTTCCTTTGCTCGTTGGGGGCGAGTGACATCATACATGGGGCGAGACCTTCCAAAATTTCCTCACCTCTTCCTGTGTCTTTAAGAATTTGGACTTTTCTTCTTCCACTCTTCGGGTCCTTAAAGGGCCTGCTAACATTACAGAATATTGATCCACTAAAAAAATTTCACAGCACTCACCTGCACTCGGTTGTGATAAGCGCACTTCGTTGACTTCGTTATAAATCAATGAACCTGAAAATCCAAGCATTTGATACCTCATAAAAAAATATAGCATTTTTAAACATTGCATAGACGCATTAGATGGTAGCTAACGAACTTCTTTTAGCAAGAGATATATTTCGAATACCCCATCGCAAACATTTGACTCTACCTCAACTATGGTGTTGCATCTGCAGATACAGCCCGTTCCGTTGCTCGAATTTCTGATCTCGATTTGAGGTCGTCCGCTAAAATAAAAGATCTACGAGCAATCTTTGCAAAGTGATATCGGTTTGGTCAAAGAGGAATGCATGCAATTATTACTTCAGATCTATCCTCCCAACAAACGGACGAATTAAAAGGTGCATTGTGAAGTCTGCAGGGGAAGTGCTTGCAACAACAAAAACTAGATCTTTGCATGCAAAACTCTTCTTGGGCTAAAAAAAAAGAAAGAAAGAAGGAAAGAAAGACGAAAGAAACTCAAATCGTACGTGGAGACGAAGCACGGGGCCGGAGTCACCGGAGCAGCATGGTAGGCACGGCGAGATTTGCAGCATTCAAAGAAAAGCTGAGTGTCGAGAGTCGAATGGTGACTCTTGGAATCTTGAGGTCGGGCTATGATGACGACCGATCGATGATTTTAAAACACACTGGGCCAGAAAGGACGGTCAGTCAACTCGGTGGAAAGTCCACCGATAACTTGCACGGATCTTTACCGTCTCTCGCCCAGCAGATTCCGCACTACGCCTCTGTGCTCTGATGATGACCCTTGCCCTCCCTCCCTCTCTCCCTCCGTCCCTCCCTGCGGCTCCAACATTAACTAGGGTTCCGCCTTTCACCACTCCCTGGTGTGGACCCAATCGAAAGATACCGTTGACTGAGTTTCGGTCTCGTGATCTGTTAGGGTTGTCCTGCATCTTGCAACTTAACCGTCATCCCAAGCAACGGAGGTTATTTATTGTCGGGCACTTTGCTCCACATGGGCTCGTTTTGAGGTGAACATTGTTGCTTTCTACGCTTGAGATCAATATAAAGAAAGCTTATCTTTTTCGGAATTCTTTCGACATATTTCCCATTATGCTATTGGTTTCGTCCCTGTACCGTTCAGTTCCATCACTGTAGGTTTTGATGTGTCTTTCCATCCTGTTCTCTAGATTGGTCTGCATTCTAAAGTCTACTGTTTGTTCCATTGATCTAGTACATGCACGAAGTTGACATTTCCATAAAACATCAAGATTATAATACTTTTTTATCGTCGTTTTACCAAATCAAAGAAGCACGAGTCCATTAAAAATCAACTTTTCAGACATATCATCTGGAAATTCTAGCATATAATAAAATTGTAAAGAAAATTTAATCGTATATAGAAATTTGGCAGAAATCGAGCCATAACAAAATTTATAAAATAATTTTTGTCATACACTCTAATTTTAAACAATATAGTTTATCTGGATGCAAAGAGTAGTGAATTGACCAAGAGTTAAGAAATCAATGGAGGAGTAACCATTAATTACCTTTTTTGAAATAACCATAAATGAAATGATTATTTAGTAATAGCTCATAAATATATGGGAAGTTGAGCTCTACGTTTTTTGAACATAGATCTGATTATAAAATACATTCTGAAGAAATATGTGCTTCATAAACCTCTATTAAAAGAAAAAATTATTCAAATATTTTTCCATGGCAATGAATCTTTGGCAGGTGATAATTGCATTTGAATTTGTAGCTTCCACTTTGTAAATAAATAACCGTATTTTGTAATTTTAATTTTTAAAAGTATGTATTATTGTTGTGTCACAATACCTAGACATTTGCATCAAAGATTTAACTCTACAGAATGATGATTGAAATGAAGTTGAATTTACTTTTTATTTAAAATTTAAAATCATAAAATAAATTCTAAAATACAAATGTGATGCAAAAATATTCATACAATTTGAAAGTAAATTCATCATTGAAACTTGTCTACGATTAGGATGTGGGATAACAAGAGCTCTGTTGCAATAGCTTCAACTTATATTACTCGAATCACAACCAGTCACAATTTGTTAATCGCGTGATTCTAACGCAGGACAACTAAAAGTATTGTTTATAATAAAAATGTATGGCCAAGTAATATAACTCATCAAATTTAAATTTAAGAAAAAATAAATAAATTCATATTTTAAAAAAATGTATAAATAAAAAAATTATTCATTTAAATTGATTAATTTTTTTCAGAAATAAAAAATTTCAATAAAAAATCCAAAATAAAATTGAAACCTCTTATTCATAATCAAATTAAAGATTTTTTCTATTTTATTGAAATAAAATAGAATATAAAAATCATTACATACATATTTCTTTATTTATTAATGAGAATGAAAATAATATATATTTTAAAGTCAAACACAACAATATATTTAAATCATTTTACATAAAAAAAAATTAAACTTAAATTGAAATTTTTGAATCGTGATATTAATGAAATAAATTTTTCTGATTTTGCTTTAATTTTATTTTTATAAATATTTAGTTGCAAATTCATATGGAGAGTGGATATATATTAATGCCTTAAAAAAATTTGAAATTAAGATTATCATTTCAATTTAAAGATATAATTAAGTTTTTATTTTTTGAATCTCAAATGATGTACTGAAAATAGTAATGATTATATTAAATGTTAATTTGTCTGTTTTAATTTTATTTTTTTTACAAGTAATTTTTATATGTATCATGCATACTTCAATGTTAGACTAACTTTATATCAGAGTTTGATATTTATTTAGATCTCAAATACAATTAAGTAATTTTCTTTGAAGGACTTAAATTTCAACAATACATGTTTAAAACCATAATGATACATATTTATGACTTGAAATAAAAAGACATATAATTGTATTTATTTTTAAAATCATTGGTTCTAAATCATATTATTTGAAGCTACAAACAAAAAACACATATT